GTACTTATCAGGCTCTGCCTCTGTGGGGGAGGGTCGGCGAGATACAGTTAGTGGCCGCCCATTCCTGTGCCAAACACTTCGGTGCCGAGCGAAGGTAAACATGTTACATGTCATACATGGTGTGGGATTTGGCCTGCGGCGCCTTGTTACGCTTTCAGGGAGGCCGTGGCTGTCGTTTTGGATGAAGCTGTCAAACATAAATGCTATCATGCTGATTCAGTTGTGTGAATGTTTATAAGATGACAGGATAAGAACACTGGGACACAAATGATACGTTACTTTTATGGAATAAGTTCGTTGTATAACGCCGCACTCAGCAATATTCAAGCCATATGACGGCCGTCTGTAAATAATCGAGTCTGGACCAGACAAATACAGTGATTGACATCATGAGCATCGATCCATGCAATTGGGATACGATGACATGCTTCAACCAAGTCAGCGAACCTGACCACCCAATCCCGTTTGTCGCCTCTTACGACAAGCATAGTCGCCTCTTACGGCAAGCATGGATTGTTGAAGACCTATTGAGACCTATAAGACTGTGTCTGTCCACATAGCTAGATTTGCCTTATAGAAGGATTGAACTAATACAAGCAAGACAACGGTATAAGGATCTATACCGAAACGTCGCCTTTACAGTATTAAAGAAATTGTTATCCATAAATTGTGTCTACTTTGTCATCCGTCAACTTCTATGTATGCCTATCAAACAATTCGAGAGAGGCTAAGTGTCAACGAGCATGTTGACGGGGAATTAGCTCTTGGGGGAATAAAGAACAAAATCGACATCACTGTCCCGGAACGCTTTATGCACATGTAAACAATAAACAACAATTGCACAATGAGCGGAATACCTGCTCTGACAACACAAACACAGTGATGAGCGGACCTTCCAGCTCAGGCGTACAAGAGGTGAGCGGAGCTCCAGCTCACCTCAGGGCGTTTCCTACGAGCTGCGGGGCGGTCGGGTAGCCTAGTGGTTAAAGCGTTCGCTCGTCACGCTGAAGACCCGGGTTCGATTCCCGACATGGGTACAATGTGTGAAGCCCATTTCTGGTGTCCCCCGCCGTGATATTGCTGGAATATTGCTAAAAGCGGCGTAAAACCATACTCACTCACTCACTCACTCCTACGAGCTGCACATCCTGCTCGAGGTCGTCCCTATGCCAGCACTCGGAATACCAAGCCTGACTAACACCATGTAATAGTAACACATATATAGTAATGAACAACAATGGACAGACAAGGAGACAATGACGTTGCTTTGGACATTGGACATATGGGCGTGATTAACCCACACAGTTCAGGGGATGATCAATTTAGGCAATAAATGCCATACTATAAAAAGCAGTAGTTAACGGGAAGTGATATGGTAGTCCTGGCTGACTGACAGTCAAAATATAATGAACTGGTGAGGATTAACAACGGGGATTAGTGTCTTATAAATAATGACAATTAAGTTATGGAGACATATACATGTCATGGCTACAGGGTAATTAGCCTTTGGTGTCAAATGTACTTCAGACAATGGTAGTCGTAAATCAGTCGCTATGACATAAGTTTCTGTTTGTCAGGTCTCCTTCCCGCAAAGAAAGTCCTTGCAACAGCAGAACAACAATTCTACCTTATCGTCCTTGGAATGTTTCTCCCATTATTTGAATTCCACTTGTGTATATTATCGAGGTCAATATTTGATACGGTATTCATAGGTAGAGCTCTGTATCAGTTATTAGTCGCACACCTGCTGCCTTTGACAATTTTAACGGAAACCCGATACACGATAAAATGCTCATTACGGTTGGTTGGTATGGCGTATCCACGATAATAGGTACATTATTGGGAATAAGATTGATGTTTGTCCTCTAAACATGTACTTCCACACAGTTGAATGTGAGCAATGTCACTCATTATGGCAGCCGCTTCCTTGCACCTGGGTGAGTTTACCTTAACGACCTGCCGACCCACGTGCAGTGTTACATGCCAGGTGTATTAAACAACATCTGGAATAATACATTTGTTTGTTTGTTTGTTTGTTGTTTTACGCCGCACTCGGCTATATTCCAGCTATATGACGGCGGTCTATAAATAATCGAGTCTGGATCAGTCAATCCAGTGATTGACATCATGCGTCTCGATCCATGCATTTAGGATACGATGTCATGCTTCAACCAAATCAGCGAGCCTGACCACCCGATCCCGTTAGTCGCCGACAAGCATAATCGCATTTTACGGCAAGCATGGGTTGCTGAAGACCTATTCTACCCCGGATCATTACGGGTCGGTTCAAATGTAAAAATGTTAAGTGCCCCGTGGGGTTTCATTGTTAGAATTGGCCTCCAGCAACATTAGCTTGTCGAGAGAGGCAACAGGGGGGATTAGATGGTCTGGCTCGCTGACTTGATTGTGTGTCAAGTAATACCACGACGATGTGGGACGTTGCACATATCAAGTTAGGCCAATTCAATCGTTTCCGTACCGCCATAATTTAGCTGGAATATTGTTGATCCAGATGCAATCAATCACTAGATTCGATTGTTTACTTGCCGTCATAGCTGGAATATTGCTGTGTGCGGCGTTAAACATCAAACAAACAATATGACTACGATGATGCGGGCGGCAAGGAGGATGCGCACCCCTGTGGTCTGTATGGTCCAATTGTGTCCATGCTTCAATGTTTATAAAAATCATACAACATATCATTGAAGTCATTCCAACCTAGGCTAAATCAGTGAAGTCATTCCAGCCTAGGCTGAATCATTGAAGTCATTCCAACCTAGGCTAAATCAGTGAAGTCATTCCAACCTAGGCTAAATCACTGAAGTCATTCCAACCTAGGCTAAATCACTGAAGTCATTCCAACCTAGGCTAAATCACTGAAGTCATTCCAACCTAGGCTAAATCACTGAAGTCATTCCAACCTAGGCTAAATCACTGAAGTCATTCCAACCTAGGCTAAATCATTGAAGGTCATTCCAACCTAGGCTAAATCATTGAAGTCATTCCAACCTAGGCTAAATCAGTGAAGTCATTCCAGCCTAGGCTGAATCATTTAAGTCATTCCAACCTAGGCTGAATCATTGAAGTCATTCCAACCTAGGCTAAATCATTGAAGTCATTCCAACCTAGGCTGAAACATTGAAGTCATTCCAACCTAGGCTAAAACATTGAAGTCATTCCAACCTAGGCTAAATCAGTGAAGTCATTCCAACCTAGGCTAAATCATTGAAGTCATTCCCACCTAGGCTAAATCATTGAAGTCATTCCAACCTAGGCTAAAACATTGAAGTCATTCCAACCTAGGCTAAAACATTGAAGTCATTCCAACCTAGGCTAATACTTGATGAAAATGTTTCTTCAGATAAGGAACGATGATTATACGGAACCCAGTTATTATGGCTCTTCATGAAGAATATCAACAATCGATACCCATACGGGGAACGTTAATTAGCTCATCATTCTGTCGATTAGGCATTGCTTCCATGTTGCACACGTCAGCATAAAATCCTACTCACTCACTCTATAAAACCCGTGTTATTCTTTTACAGTATTACTCTTTGAGAAACATATTGACTCAGTTTTAAACATAAAGAACAAAATCAGATGGTTTAATTCTCTTTACTCTATTTCCTGCGCCTTTGGAAACCGTATCGATTTTCTGGGACACTCAACCGAAAGTGATTCATATAAATATAATAGAGAGCGTGGAATACACGTGCTGTTATTGTAATGATTTTTCACAGCGTCTCTCGATTGAGGTCAAAGCTGTGAAGTTTATGCTTAATGCTGGGGCGTCCCGTCAATGATAGTAACAGCGCCTCGCTCTTTATTCATGCGATGCATTGACAACACAACGATGTGAGTTAAAACCACTGCAGCATTTATGAGGTAGGAACGCTAAAATCTAATGATTCTCTCTCACAGCTTTTCTTTAAACAACTCGAGTGCTGAATTTAAATCAATTCAACTTGAATGTTATTTAGTTAGCTCAGTAGTGCTCAGAATGTACGTAGTTTGACAATGTGCTGTAGACAAAGAAAATGGCTTCTTGTGATAAGGTGTATAAACCTACACTCATGGCAGCCATTCAAACTACAGGTCATGTTTCAACGCTCTTTGCCCTGTTTAAGTATAGGCTGGGTTAAAATACTATACGTCCTTTGTTCTTTGTTCAGTCTGATACAAGGACCCTGTCCTCGTTACACTGATCGGAGTTCTCCTGCCCGGAGACCGACATATGATTAGCAGTAATATTCAGACACGTTACAGCCGGGGTATCAGTCTGTGGCTTGAAGCCACCTCGCTGTACTGAGTCACGCTCCCCGCTGCTCTACATGGAAGCGTTCAATACCAACCGCTGTATACCGTGTTGATCTGGGCGATATAAACTGCCGCCTGTTGTTATTGTTTTCCGCCTCTCAGAGGGATTACTCAGGGATTGTATACAGCTGGTATGTGCCATTTAGCGGTCCTTGGATGTGCAATTCAAAGTGCAGGCTGTATATTGTGCATTTAGCGCAAGCAGATATGGCTGTAGGGCTACGCAAGGCTAGTAGAAGAGAACGTATATATAATTGCAGCTTGCAGGCACAATGACATACCACGTGAATATAGCAAGTACGGTACGCGCTTGTAACGATGAATTGTTTTATTCACATGTGACAAAATATTGGGACAGCTTGAAATGTCTCCAAGACCCAAACGAATAATATAATTTTAAAAAGGAGTCCAATTCAAGTCTAGAATGATTTGACAAGTCCATATTGTCTCAGCTCTGGGTTGGGCTCCATTTGGATTTTTTTTCTTTGGATAGATATATATTTTTGTCAGTCCACTTGAAATGTAGAGTGAGTAAATGGATGTCAGTTTATACCTGTCAGGGTCAAGTTAGTCTGTCGTCGAATCTGAATCAGGCAAACCAAATGTTGATAGCATGAGAGAAAGAGAATATATGCCGCCCGGGTACGAAGACACACAATGGGCCACGTGAGTGGAGTGGAATGGAAAGGAGCGGAGCGGAGTGGAGTGGAGAGGAAAGGAGTGGAAGGGAGTGGAGCGGAGGGGAGGCGGAGAGGAGAGGAGCGGGGCGGGGCGGGGCGGGGCGGGGCGAGGCGGAGAGGAGGGGAGCGGGGCGGGGCGAGGCGGAGAGGAGCGGGGCGGGGCTAGGCGGAGAGGAGGGGAGAGGAGCGGGGCGAGGCGGAGAGCAGTGGAGAGGAGCGGGGCGAGGCGTAGAGGAGGGGAGAGGAGCGGGGCGGGGCGAGGCGTAGAGGAGGGGAGAGGAGCGGGGCGGGGCGAGGCGGAGAGGAGGGGAGAGGAGCGGGGCGGGGCGGGGCGAGGCGGAGAGGAGGGGAGAGGAGCGGGGCGAGGCGGAGAGGAGGGGAGAGGGGCGGGGCGAGGCGTAGAGGAGCGGGGCGGGGCGAGGCGGAGAGGAGGGGAGAGGAGCGGGGCGAGGCGGAGAGGAGGGGAGAGGAGCGGGGCGGGGCGAGGCGTAGAGGAGGGGAGAGGAGCGGGGCGAGGCGGAGAGCAGTGGAGAGGAGCGGGGCGGGGCGAGGCGTAGAGGAGGGGAGAGGAGCGGGGCGGGTCGGGGCGAGGCGGAGAGGAGGGGAGAGGAGCGGGGCGGGTCGGGGCGAGGCGGAGAGGAGGGGAGAGGAGCGGGGCGGGGCGAGGCGGAGAGGAGGGGAGAGGAGCGGGGCGAGGCGGAGAGTAGTGGAGAGGAGCGGGGCGGGGCGAGGCGTAGAGGAGGGGAGAGGAGCGGGGCGAGGCGGAGAGCAGTGGAGAGGAGCGGGGCGGGGCGATGCGGAGAGGAGGGGAGAGGAGCGGGGCGGGGCGAGGCGGAGAGGAGGGGAGAGGAGCGGGGCGAGGCGGAGAGCAGTGGAGAGGAGCGGGGCGAGGCGGAGAGCAGTGGAGAGGAGCGGGGCGGGGCGAGGCGTAGAGGAGGGGAGAGGAGCGGGGCGAGGCGGAGAGCAGTGGAGAGGAGCGGGGCGGGGCGAGGCGTAGAGGAGGGGAGAGGAGCGGGGCGGGGCGAGGCGGAGAGGAGGGGAGAGGAGCGGGGCGGGGCGAGGCGGAGAGGAGGGGAGAGGAGCGGGGCGGGGCGAGGCGTAGAGGAGGGGAGCGGGGCGGGGCGGGGCGAGGCGGAGAGGAGCGGGGCGGGGCGAGGCGGAGTGGAGTGGAGCGGAGTGATGCGGAAAGGAGTGGAGTGGAGTGGAAGGAGTGGAGTGGAGAGAGAGAGTGTGTGAAGCGATGCAGGTCTAAATCGTTCACCAACCGTTGGTGAACCGACTGTTTCCCATACAATATACACGAACAAACATTAGTATGTGTTTTAATTTTTACATAATATCCGTGCTTACGGACGTTTTTATGCGTGATTTCAATATACATTATGTTCTATCAACAACTCGACATTCATTTACTGGCACAAGATACCTTAATTCAACTTTTGTATCTTTACAGTAATTACACATTTCGAGGACACATTTTGCTTCTCGATGAGGGGGTATTATTTTTAACTTGTTTTAAGTATGTTCATGATGTTACGTAACGCGTTTGCATGAAGATGTTTTAATCTTCCGACCCGACATGATTCATAGAACAGAGATTATACAAAACAACTCCCGACAATGTCACTTGACTTTGCTCGAGACTGTATCCTGTGTACACCTGGCTGTGCTTGAAGTACCCAGCTGCAGAAACATTGCTGACGCGATGACTCTTCTGGGGATGTACGTATTTAGCTGGAATCTGATACCACAGGAATGCGGTGTAGGTCTACCAGGTCGACAGAGTCACGTAATTAATATACAATATGGGCAGTCCAAGCCGCCCTGCTGGCTGGGATGTGGTGTGTACACGCTATTTGAGGAGTTTCGGAGTTTAGAAACTGTTTTACAAAGTAAATGCTGCCGTTTCATATGTAGTGAGTGAGTGAGTATGGTTTTACACCGCTTTTAGCAATATTCCAGCAATATCACGGCTGGGGACACCAGAAACGGGCTTCACACAATGTACCCATGTCGGGACTCGAACCCGGGTCTTCGGCGTGACGAGCGAACACTTTAACCACTAGGCTCCCCGGCCGCCCCCGTTTCATATGTAGAAAACCAGGTTAGCTCATGATCACATCGCACATGTGACAGTTTGTGTTGGCATAACACCGCCCACGTGTATAGTACCTACCATAACTGATCATGAAGCACTGTGAGATGAACGCCAAAACGTGAATAGCCGTCATATATTGTTGTGTCCGAGGGAAGGTGTGTGCTTCAGATTATGTTCGGGGGGCACGGGTGGCCCAGTCGTCTAAGGCGCCGCGATTCGCTGTGCAGAGTTGCGTCCCTTGGGCACGCCAGAAACCTATGATTGTGGGTTCGAATCCCGGTTCCCCCCGATTATGTTTCTAGGTTTGTCAGCACCATACCTGTGCTCGTGGGTTTCACCGAAGTGGTAAACGTCTGAGACCTGCATCACTTCGGGCTTTCCTCCCACATTAAGCTGACATAATAAGCGATATAACTGGAATACTGTTAAAAGCGGCGTTAAACCCAACTCACTCACTCACTTACGCAGATACTGTTCAACATATGAATGATAGACATATAAAATGAACCTTGGCGTTTCATAAAAAGGGTGATATTACTTCATACGAAAATGGACCGCCTCAGTGGTCTAGTGGTAGAGCGTCCGCCCGGAGAGCGGAAGGTCCGGGGTTCGATTCCCGGCCGCGTCATACCAAAAGACGTTAAAAGATGGTACTTGTTGTTACCCTGTCAGGCGCTCGGCATTAAGGGGCTAAAACAAGAACTGGTCGGCTCGGAGTCAGTATACTGTGTCTGTGTGGGGTATTCATGTTAAACTGCGGCATGGTATCTCAGTGGGCTAGCACTATAAATCGGCATCAGTCCGGACTAGTACAAGCAGCCACACACACACACATGTGCATGCACGTCGCTATATAAGTGCAATAACCTTGGATGCGACGTTAAACCCCATTTCACCTCACCTCACCTCACCTCACCTCACCTCACCTCACCTCATAAGAAAACGAAGTGAATGTTGTTTTGCGTCACAGTTAACAATACCTGCGTAATAGAGGCAGGATTTGAAGTGTGGAGGTCGGGCTATGTTAACGACGCAATGAGCCAGGTCGCACATTATGACCACCCGATCCCCATTTAATCGACTCTTACAAGGATTGGGTATTGGTTACGTGGTTGTCCTGGGATTTCAAAGGATCGAAAATCCAAACTCCTTAATAAAGAGTGAGGCGGTTGAGCTGTTTGTTTCGTTCAACTTTCTACTCAAATGAATGTTAATTGTGATGAAAATAGTCCAATCGTACAGTCAAAGGTTTATCCAGTGCGACACATTACGAGGAAGGCATAAAGTGTCGTTTAACTATTTATTCCGCATTTTAAGATATAAAGAATTGTTTTTTTCTGATAACAAAATATAAACCGTTCAGCAATGTTCCAACTAAATCACTACGTCCTACAAATAACTGAGCCCGGACTTGACAAAACAACGATTTGTTTAGCGACTTCCCACGTCATCGACGTACGATGACACGCGAGCCCCCGAGTCCCCGAGTCTGACCACCCGATCCACTTAGTCGACTCTTACACTAGCTTGGGGCGCTGGGAACCAATTCTAACTCGAAATCCCATTGTGGCAAATATACCATGACACTTGTGGCTGGGTAAGTTAAGGTATCTTGTAGCTGGTCATGCAAACTTGGATCTTTGCCTAGAAACTATACATTTTGTCAGCTACACATGCAAAATCAGATATTTCTTTAATTAATACTGTGACCCACCGTATTTTTGTAAGAAAAACATCTTGCAACGATGTTATTTTTGTGGCAGACAAAATGTTATTTTCCAACAGGCTGAAGTATAATTATTTTAGGAGAAAATCCCAGAACCCCCCTCGAATATCATATGGTCAGTCCCTAACCAAAGACAAAAAAATAAAACACTAGTCAGCTTAAGTTGGTCAAGCAGTCCGGTCATGCGAGATCCCCGAATCTGACAGCTATCGGAGTAGGATACACTTGGCTGTTTGATAAAGTAGCTTTAATTAATGTCCTTGCAATACACCTAGATCTATATTAAGATATTTCCTTACAAAAATTCAAAATAATGAAAATACTTTCAACTTTCGGGTGACTCTATAATAAGGATCCCTCCCTGATTCAAAGACCTGGGATTATGATCATTAATGTCCCCTGTAGATGAACTACTGCTAATATGCTACTACGCTGGCATACAGACTAGGCCTTAAATACTCTCCAGAGATAATGCCCCTAGTTTGCCGTGCCTTGTATCCGCTCTCAACCCTTCTTGAAGGCCACCCTCTACTCGATGGCGGCTACTACCAGAAAGGTTCTCCAATGGTGGTGTTTTGTCTGGTAATTAAAGGCGTGTGCTTGTGATATTAACTGACTTAGTCCGTCAGGTCAAGTGATCCTACACGGGGCTGAGATCAACTGAGACCGCCTGTTGAAATTCTTAACAATGCTACTCGGAAGCTGGAGTCATGTCCGTCCACCTGGTCGCGGCCGCCATCTTGACCCACGCGTGTCACACATCGGATGTACTTTCCTTGTTTCGCGACATTCACGATATTCATTGAATATTTGACACGAATATCCCAGTAATGCATTATACATAACATGGATTGTTCACGTTAACCGTATTAACAACAATTACCAAAATGGACAATGGAATGCGTGACATATTCACACGTTTGAGTCCATGATCCATTTGCAGAAAGCGATCTCAGGGCTGCGACTGATGAAAATCCATTCAAAAGTTGTAGCGCAAAGATTGCTTTGTGTAAGGGAACCCTGGTCAGGGTGTTGGCTACAGTGGAGCTGTGAATTTTCGTAAATATCTAGACTGGAAGCCCTCCCTGTTGTCAAATAATTTTTAAAATAATTTAAGAATCCGACATATAAACAGCCGGGTAAACGAAAGTAGACATGTATACCCCCGTGCTTGATGGTGGCTAAAACGGAACAAACAAGAAAAGGTTATTCAGTAGTGATGTATTTGATACGGATATTGCGGTTGTGTTTAGGAACTTACGCTTGCAGTGTTTCGGCGTCTGTTTTCATCATAGTTAAGTTTTTTTATGACATTTGTAGTTTTTTGGTAACGTACAATTTACAAGTCTTTACTTTTTCACCAGCAGTTTATATCCTCAACGTATGACGTTTACACGTTTACACGTTTTGTAAACTGCAACACAGTGTAAAAAGGGTCGTTTTGTAGGTAGACGAGAAGCAGGTAGGCTAATGCATTATACGTTTTGTAAACTGGGACGGAGTGTAAAAAGAGTGGTTTTGTAGGTAGACGAGAAGCAGATAAGTTAATGCATTATACGCGTGAAGAGAAATGTAATCTGCAGCACAGTGTAAAAAACGTGGAATGAGAGCAGATATACTGGATGATGTACCATATTTAATTGTTTACCCTAAGACTCTGTGTTTGGGTGTTTCCAGTATAAAGCAACACGAAACTATCGGAATATTAAAAACAGATAAATATATCGCTATGTGCATTGCAGGAGTGTAAACATTCATCGTTCAGCCAAGGATGACTCCTGTCTCATGTTCACGGAATCTCGGTGACTGGTTTCGTATGAGCGTTCAACATTCACACATCTACAGTCCTAGATCTACCATGTTCCAGTCTGTATCAGATCCAGTGATGTTTTACATCACCCTTTTTATATGTTATTTCTGCGTATCAAGTCTATTTTCATTTGCTAGAATAGTGGGAACTAGGCGACGCGAAGGTCGAGGAAGAATTTAATCTTGGGAACCTCACGGACTCGGTTGTCTTTTTTTGTGGGAGTGTGGTTTTTTTTCTCGTCGAACGCCAAAAGAATAAATGTTGATCTAGAACCTACATTGTTGGTGTACTGTGACATGATAAGGTGGAAAGCTTACTAAATTTATAGTGTGTGAGTGAGTATGGTTTTACGCCGCTTTTAGCAATATTCCAGCAATATCACGGCGGGGGACACCAGAAATGGGCTTCACACATTGTACCCATGTCGGGAATCGAACCCGGGTATTCGTAGTGACGAGCCAACGCTTTAACCACTAGGCTACCCTACCGCCTACTAAATTTATATCTCAAGGGCTATCAAGAATAGGCCCATTGTTTCGTGTTAACGTTTTTTAAGTACGGATAAATCGAACTAATGCTGAGTTCTGTTCTACAAAGCAGTCTCAGCGCTACGAGTATCGAAGTCTGTCTCGAGTCACCTTAGCGTGGTACGGGGCCCAGTGCTCCTCCTGTCCGGTATTTCAGGTGCTTCTTGCACAAAGGGATCTTGGTGCCCATTTGACATTGGTATTCTGATATGTTGAGTTGTAAAGGGTTTAACGTCGCTTTCAAGATTATTGCATTTCTATCAATGGTGAGGTGAGGTGAAATGGGGTTTAACGTCGCGTCCAAAATTATTGCATTTATATAGCGACGTGCTAGCACGTGTATGTGTGTGTGTGTGTGGCTGCTTGTAACTAGTACGGACTGATGCCGATTTATAGTGCTAGCACACTGAGATACCATGCCGCAGTTTAACATGAATACCCCACTCAGACACAGTATACTGACTCCGAACAGACCAGTCCTTGTTTTAGCCCCTTAATGCCGAGCGCCAGACAGGGTAACAACAAGTACCATCGTTTAACGTCTTTTGGTATGACGCGGCTGTAGATCGAACCTTCTATCAATGTGTCTGTGTGTATGTATGCTAGTCCGTGAGATATAATGCCGAAGTTTAACATGTAAACCAGACTCGCAGCGACCAGTCCTTCTATTTTTTCCCTATGCCGAGCGCCAGGTTAATACCAAGTATCATCTTTAACCGTATTTTGGTATAACGCGGCTGGGGATCGAACCCCGACCCTAGCTCTCCGGGCAGATGCTCTATCCACTAGACCACACAGGCGTCGGTATTCGTAATCGGGTATGTCCACCAGTGTGGTTGTTTGTCCAGAGGATTACGAATCGCTTTGGGTTCCTTTCATGTATTCCTTGACAACATAATTACAGACAAATACAACCATTACCGGCGTTAATTGAACATAATCACACTGAAGGTTACCACCGATTGATCTATACAACACCACACACGGCAGTTTTGTAGGTCAAACGTACGTAGTAGTGTACTAGTGTGAACCAACACAGAACATACTTGAAACTGATGTACATTATATATCTGGCCATTTATTGCATTCATTTCCTATACTCTTTAAGACTAGTGTGAGTGAGTTGGATTTTACGCCGCATTTTGGTTAATTACAGGGTGCCGTTGTACAAAGCGATCTTAGCACCTCGGTGATCGTAACACCATAGCTTATCGCAGACTTACCACAGTCGTAGGGCTAAGGGTTATCACGGCAGGAGACACCAAAAAGGGGCTTCATACTTTTTACTCATGTGGGGAATAGAACCCGGACCTGCGTGCAGGAAACGCCTCAACCGCCAGGCTAACGCGCGTTAGACTCAGTCAAATCATATCAGTAAGTTGGATTTTACGCCGTCTTAAGGATAATTCCATGGTGCCATGGGGCGGGCGGGTAGCCTAGTGGTTAAAGCGTTGGCTTGTCACGCCGAAGACCCGGGTTCCCACATAGGTACAATGTGCCAAGCCCATTTCTGGTGTTCTCTACTGTGATGTTGCTGGAATATTGCTAAAAGCGGCGTGAAACCAAACAAACTCACTTGTATAAATTGTGATATATTTTTCTTATTTTTCTCAATATGAATATTAAAAATACGCTTACTTATAAAAAATTGCCTCGAATTATTTTGATAAAAAAATAGAATTGACATGCCTCTGTTCTGCGTGTGTGTCCTTATAAACGTCCAGTATTTCAGTCGCATGGTCCCCGACTGGTAAAAAGGGCAATGTGTTCAAAACAAGCCATCCAAATCGCGAATTACACCGGGAAACAATGTCAAAAGTGTAATTCTCATGGCGGTAATATATGAATGAAAATTGCCACAATGTCCGATGTGAAATGTCAGCACTTAAGGCCATGTGATGTATAACGCCTGAAGCTGCAGCCTCTCTGTGGCTGTTGGTATGGGGAGATAATGAGACGGATAATAGGGAAGCATCCTCATTTTGTATGCCAAGTCTATTGTCGGCTGATTGATCGCTCAGCCCCGTGTGACGGGAGGATGGGGACAGTGTGTGACCCTATAGTTCCGAGGGGCGACCCCTGTAGGTAAGTCCTCCTATATCACAGCGTCTGTGCTCGCTTGCTATTGGTATTGGTCGTTATACAGCTGTACACACGAACCTTGTTAATCCGACCACTGTAGCCTGGGCATCTCCTGCTAGGCGGAAAGAAATTATTTACATGGAATGATATATTTGTTGAATTGATTAATTATTATCCGAATGAATAGGTAGGAATCAAGATGTCAATATTATTAGAAAGATATTAAGAATGTTACACTTGAACCGCCAGGCCAACTTGCGTGGGGATGCCGGTTAGAATTGGTCCTGGAATATTGCTGAGTGCAGCGTTAAACAACAAACAAACAAACTAAAAGCTGCATCTTGATTTTCCGGCAAAACGTGCATACACTTGAACCCCGTTACCTGCGAAATACATTTTAATTTATCTTTTAATGTGTACACATACACATGTTGTATTTTTAATTTCTCGTGTTTGCCATCGCATTGCTATGTATCTATAATACCGTTACCTGATTCTTCGGATGTTCATGCCTCGTTATCTCGAATGTCCGGATATCTCGAAATGACAACACAGTCCAGCTAGGTTCGAGATAACGGGGTTCGATCGTATATCTGTTGGATTCATGTAATAAACAGTAAAAGAATATGAATGGTAATTACAGAGTATTCAGGATAGTTTAGTTTTAACCAGGTCGCTACAACCAAGCGAATTGTACATGACGGTGAGTGCGTCATGCTTCACACATGGTTTTGCAGTGTGCGGAGCTCATAGGCGAGCGCCCATTTGAACCCACAGCTACCGTTTGACGTTAATCTAAATGACATGTCCAGCTGATTGAGTCTGCTTCGACTACCCAATACATATTCTGAATGGTCGCAAACAATCCTGGGAACTCAAAATGCAATACCTGGCTTGCTGTTTGAATCATTAAAACGTATGAAAAATGTAGATTGCGGCTTTCAAATAACTGACGTTTTTATTCTTCTACGAAATGCACTCTCATTGTCATTGGTTTATTTCATCAATCTAGCATCAATACCCATCAAAACTATAGACGGTCTGGCCAAGAGGGGTCAGAGGGAATCAGAGGACGGTCATCAAAAACTATGAGTCTCCAGGGGAGGGTCATAAAAGTAATACGCAAATTTGGGGTGGGGGCATGAAAAATATACATTTTATGATAAACTACAGTAAACTACGGTTATAACGAACTAAAAGGGACCACTAATTTTAGTTCGTTATAACCGTAGTTCGTTATAAGCATATTTACAGCCTATATACAGCAAATGGACGGGACCCCCAAACAGTTCGTAATATCCGTCAGTTCGGTATAAGCGTGTTCGTTATAAACGTTGTTTACTGTATTTATAACGTGATTTTGCATTTTGTCATTTCGAGGAGGGTCATAATGAAATATGACATGCATTAATATAGTGGCGAATCTAGGAGTCGAACCCAGTACCACTGATCCGGACACATCTTCTCGAGGCAAGGGAGGTAACTGACTATAGAAGGCCAGTTTCCTCCATGCCGAACTAGGCTGGAATTTCCAGGCCACCACTGGCGATACTTTCCTTCAATGTCCCTCCTATTGACCAATCAGATTAAATCTGCCATATCACTTGCATTTGCTTTAAACAAAATGCCCACGC